AAATGTTTTTCACACTTAAGCTACAAACGTGTGACATTGGATTTTAATAATATGATGTTTTTCATGTGTTCAAATAAATGTTTTGAAGAAAATTGATGGAAAACTTCTGTTACACATTTTTCAGTCATTCACATAAAAAATATTCCTTTTTTAATTAAGTGATTTTCTGATGTTGTGTTAATTTTTATGTTTCCTTTGAATTTAGAATCTGTGGATCCTCGAGAAGAACAAAGACCAGTGAAGGGACTTTTTCTCTGATCTCACTAAATTCACTAAAGCGACGGTTTCTGGGACCGAGCTGAATCCATTTAGTGTATTTTTCAGCTGATTTTTCTCAAACACTACATCAGCTGAAAAATATCGACAGATTTTTTACATTCTGTGAAAACGTTTGTAATTATTCAGTGTTTGAAAAATAATCAAAGAGAAAAAATCCAGTCGCAAAAGTGAATCCAAAAAGAAAAAGGTACCTCCTTATATGGTCATACTTCCTGCAGTGCACGGCATCGTGAAAATAACCACTATGATAATAGTTCTAAGGAAACAGGCAAAGAATGACTGAAAAAACCTAAGATTAGATAAAAAAAGACCTTTAATCACACAGTGGGGAAATTTCAATGTTGCAACACACATACAGAAGTAAGAACACACAAAATATGCAATAAGAGTAGCTATAAAATAATAACAATAATAAGACACTATATGTACCTTATAAAATGTATGGATTGAATAAAAACGTAGAGTTAAACATGTTTAAAGTTCCTCAGACAGAGATTACAAACAGATGAAACAGTGTCAGTTTTACCGTGAGGTCAGTGAAGCGCATCCAGCTGCGTCTGTGGCAAAACGACAAAAACACTAGATTTTCATAAAGAACGAGAGTCTGAGTCTGTGACGACGGCAGCACTTTCCATAAACCACAGGATTATTCAGATCAGGACACACACACAGCTGCGGAGAGGTATGTACCTTTATGTATGGTGTATGTATGTGTATGTGAGTGTGTGTGTGCGTGTGTGAGTGTGTGTGTGAGTGTGTGAGTGCGTGTGTGTTTCTCTCTCTCCTTCTCTTCTTTATCTCTGTTTATAAAACACTCAAAACTGAAACTAATGAAACAGAAAATAGCAAATAATTTTTTTCCAAATTGAATTAAATCCTGACCACGTTTTGATTCTGCTACATTCCTGTTTTCAGTTCAGACACAAGGTTGAATCCCGGAGACACAACAGAACAGAATAATTCAGACACTAAAGTAAAGGGTTCTAAATCTGAGGAGGTCCGGCCAGCAGGGGGCAGTGTTCGCCAACACATCTCCAGGTCGCTCAGCTTCAACTCTCTGAAACTTCAACTGTTTTTCATTTTCAGAAGATGAATCTTGTTGTATCATGGAGATACACAGATTTGAGAAACAATATGAATGATACTGTCTTCGTTCTTGGAATAATCATCAGTAAGATTTTCTGGAGACCAATAACAAGAGGCCTCATGGGCGGGTCTATTAGTTACTTTGACAAAAAAAGTAAAAAAAGGACATTCATGGACTCGGGTCATTCCCTGTGGACCAGTGGCTTCTGTGTGTTTCTTGTGTTTGATTGATTGTGTGTGATTCTCTTTTGTCGGTGAATCAATAACTGTGTAAAGTCTCTGAGATGACTTCTGAAAATGGTCCGTAACAGTTTAATCAAAGACTTTGCACATGTCTCTCTGCATGGAGTCGATATCACTAGTTTCACATCTTAAAGGTACAATGTGTAGTTTTTACTCCCATCTAGTGTTGAGATCATATATCGCAGTCTCCGTCCACCACCAACACTACGGAAGCCTCCGAGGACCATATTGTGTTTGACAGTGGTCCCCAACCCCCGGTCATTCTACGGACCAATAAAATAATCCTTTACTTTGATAAATGACGGATCTTTCCAAACTCTACCAAAATGACAGAAATAACAAGTCTGGCCTTTAACAGAAGATGCTTTTATTACAAATGAAAACAGGAGAAAGCAGGATAACAGCTTGTGCAGTAAATGTCTATGGCTTCTCCCATTGGTTAAGACTCTTAAATACAAAATAGATACAAAACTGGGAATATAGATGTCTGTACTTTGTCCACAGTGTCAGGTAGTATGAGATAAACAGGTTAAACAGCACTCAACAATACATCGCCTTTAGCTGCATTTCTCCATCTAAATATCTGTAACATTACCCAAAAAAGCAAATTAAAACAATGCTTTGGATCAACAGACAATAATCGTATGGAAAAATGTCACATAAAACAAACTGTATCAAAGCTCATGCTAAGAATAAATACAAAATGGCGGCTATACATACGTCATATATATGTTGCGTTTGGCTGCATGTGTTTACATCAGTCTTAGGATTAGAACAGTAAAAACATAGAAGAAGAAGTCGATTTCATTTGGTAGATGCTCCTTCAAACAATGTCAGCAAAATGTGGTCATGGATCAACCCAGCGATCAACAGATTCTTTGCATATCACAAATTCCAAAGTTTTCCGAACAAAGTGAGCGGCCGTCTCAGGTGAATTTGTTTAAATAAAAGTTTGAAATAACTTTATCATGGTCAAAATCTGATGAAAAGTTTTCTTGAGTTTTCAAAATAAACTGCAAAACATTTGAGGAAATCCACAATCTTCTGGTAATTTTCCACCAGAGGGGCCCCCAAGGGAACCTGTCCACTCGGCCACCCATGTTTGACGCCCCTGCTAATATCATGTATGAGACTCAGCTCTGCACATGCATAAAGGACATATTTATGGCTTTTACCCTAAACAAACAATACAAATGTTGACCCTTAAAGAAAACATTATGCGTTATTGCCATTCAAAACGTTTCATGTTGGAGAATGTAAAATATCGTCTAAAGTGGAAAATCTATGTTGAAACAAGCATTAATGTTAAAAAAACAAATGCGTTCTGCCTGTAATTCCCCATACCACCAGAGGGAGGACTTTTCCAAATTTGAAAATGACCGGCTGCAAACACATGTGTGATTGTACTGAACGTTTTTTCACCTGAGAAATGACCAAAGCTAATTTATGTGCGATACTTTTGTTTTAAAACGGCTCTGAGAGTGATGTCATCGTGGCACAATGACATCATACTATTACAGGACTGTGACTGGAGCGTTTAGACAGAAGGGGCGGGGCTACAGGTTTGTGCTAGAACTTATATTAGCCTGGATGGATCTAAAAACAACTCCAGGTTTGACTCTGATGAGGGACCAGTGTTACAACATGGTGGAAAATCTCAAACAAGTCACTTTGGCAAAATATGTCTCCTTCAAAGACAGCATTTTCCCCTGAAATATTAATTATATAGCACGTATCTTAAATGCATAGACTTCAATGGCTACTACTTGCTTTGATTGTCGTGGAATCCAGGCTTCATCTGAGACTGCTTTACTGCCAAAAACAAGGTTAAAAGTAATGTCGTAGTGCTTACATGGACATGGTAGTGCTTTTGTTGTTAGAAAATAAAAGAAAATAAACAAGTGTAACAATTGTACACAAATCCAAACATTATAAAATCCGAGTTGTAACTTACATTTCCAGTTAAAGGCACGGTTTAAAAGGTATAAAATGCTAGATATGAAGCTTACTGTTTTAATTATATACACACACACATGGTACGAGAGGCACATGGTATCGTACACAGGGAATGCTCGGGATTGGTCTAACAAAGCTTACTACGGCGGCGGCTGGGTTCGAGTCTTCCTGATCGCGGTTAAAGGCACCTGGACTTGGACCCGGGTCATAGTTCTCATCCCACCAAACTTTTCTTCAAAGTTTTTGTCACGAGCAGGAACACGGAGCAGTGTCTTTGGGGCTACGCGTGGCTGTGCACAGAGATGCTCGACAAGTCGTTCTTGATGATTTCATTCACTGGAAACAAAGAGAGAGAGGATTAGAATCTGGGTCGGTTTGTTTCACAAACACACGTTTATGGTAAACAGTGATAATCGCTTCAGTCACTAATAACGAGAAATGGATCTTTATTAGAGTTCTGAAAAAAAAAACGATCAAGAAATAGTTGGAATTTGCAGTGAGAGTTAATTAAACCTGATAAAACTCAAGACAAAGATTGTGCTAGAATCATATTTATTGTACGTCTGCATGAATTCTTGTGTTTCATTAAACTGGCCTGTAGGGGGCGCATAAGCAGAGGTGGGACAGTGTTGCTCCCATTGAAAACCATGTAAAGTCTGTTTTGGAGTCAGAGGCTCTCCTCCTGTGCGGTGTACAGTTGTTGGAACAGTCTTAATCGGGGACACTCAATTCTAAGGCAGCACTAACAAATATTTATCAAAAGAGTCTTGATTTCGGGCATTTTTGGAAAAAAGAAAAATAAATCACTCGTGTTTCATTGGGGTGGCCTGCAGGGGGCGCTTATCTGGGAAAGCCTTGATCCACCTCCGCCTCATTCCAGTGATTTTTTCAAAGTGTCCTTTATATGAGACCACAGTTGGAACATGAACAAACTCTGTCTTTCTCTCTATTCGTGCGGTTGCTACAAGAGACACAGGTACATATAGACACAGGTACATATAGACACAGGTACATAGACACAGGTACATATAGACACAGGTGAAACACATCAGGGCGGGGCAGACAGTCATGACGGGGAAACAGGAAGTAAAACTAAAAACCAAAGCACAGAGAACAGATGTCAAAATAAAACCAAAATACAAAATAACAAAATCCACACCATGACAGAGATATGGTAAAAAAATATCATCTTCTGACACAGTTTCTGGTCCTCTCTCTTCAGCAGCGTTCTTATCCTGTATAAAGAGCTTATACACAGCCGCAGAGGACGTTTATCAACATTTATCGGTCCCTAATGAACCAATGGCTCTTTGTGTTTTTATATCGCTGCATTTCTTGTGTGGATCTGTTTTGTAAAGTCCTCTGAGAAATCTGCCTTTGTGTTTTAGGGCGACACAAGAAAACACTGAGTTGTAATTGAATTGAGCAGAGTAAATATGGCCGACAGTGAGAACAGGACACCCCTCACAGGACACCCCTCGGCCTCTGTCCCACTCACTGCTCCATCACCGCAGGATTCAGGTCCCAGGGACGGGACCAGAGGGACGGGACCACAGAGACGGGACCAGAGGGACGGGACCAGAGGGACGGGACCAGAGGGACGGGACCAGAGGGACGGGACCACAGGGACGGGACCAGAGGGACGGGACCAGAGGGACGGGACCAGAGGGACGGGACCACAGGGACGGGACCACAGGGACGGGACCAGAGAGACGGGACCACAGGGACGGGACCACAGGGACGGGACCACAGGGACGGGACCACAGGGACGGGACCACAGGGACGGGACCAGAGGGACGGGACCACAGAGACGGGACCAGAGGGACGGGACCAGAGGGACGGGACCAGAGGGACGGGACCACAGGGACGGGACCACAGGGACGGGACCAGAGGGACGGGACCAGAGGGACGGGACCAGAGGGACGGGACCACAGGGACGGGACCAGAGGGACGGGACCACAGGGACGGGACCACAGGGACGGGACCAGAGGGACGGGACCACAGGGACGGGACCACAGGGACGGGACCAGAGAGACGGGACCACAGGGACGGGACCACAGGGACGGGACCACAGGGACGGGACCAGAGGGACGGGACCAGAGGGACGGGACCACAGGGACGGGACCAGAGGGACGGGACCACAGGGACGGAACCAGAGAGACGGGACCACAGGGACGGGACCACAGGGACGGGACCAGAGGGACGGGACCAGAGGGACGGGACCACAGGGACGGGACCACAGGGACGGGACCACGGGGACGGGACCACAGGAACGGGACCACAGGGACGGGACCACGGGTACGGGACCACAGGGACGGGACCACGGGTACGGGACCAGAGGGACGGGACCACAGGGACGGGACCAGGGGACGGGACCACAGGGACGGGACCAGAGGGACGGGACCACGGGGACGGGACCACAGGGACGGGACCACGGGTACGGGACCACAGGGACGGGACCACAGGGACAGGACCAGAGGGACGGGACCACAGGGACGGGACCAGAGGGACGGGACCACAGGGACGGGACCAGAGGGACGGGACCAGAGGGACGGGACCACAGGGACGGGACCAGAGGGACGGGACCACAGGGACGGGACCACAGGGACGGGACCAGAGGGACGGGACCACAGGAACGGGACCACAAGAACGGGACCAGAGGGACGGGACCACAGGGACGGGACCAGAGGGACGGGACCACAGGGACGGGACCACAGGGACGGGACCACCGGGACGGGACCACGGGGACGGGACCACGGGTACGGGACCAGAGGGACGGGACCACAGGGACGGGACCACAGGGACGGGACCACAGGGACGGGACCACAGGGACGGGACCACAGGGACGGGACCACAGGGACAGGACCAGAGGGACGGGACCAGAGGGACGGGACCACAGGGACGGGACCACAAGGACGGGACCACAGGGACGGGACCAGAGGGACGGGACCACAGGGACGGGACCACAGGGACGGGACCAGAGGGACGGGACCACAGGGACGGGACCAGAGAGACGGGACCACAAGGACGGGACCACAGGGACGGGACCAGAGGGACGGGACCACAGGGACGGGACCACAGGGACGGGACCACAGGGACGGGACCAGAGGGACGGGACCACAGGGACGGGACCAGAGAGACGGGACCAGAGGGACGGGACCACAGGGACGGGACCACAGGGACAGGGAACACTGTGCTGCTAAAATCATGAAGATAATGTTGGAGCTCAAAGCCTGTGTTTGCTTCTGTTTTTGGCTCCTGTTTTTCCAACACATGAGCAGCTCAGGCCCAGGACTGGACGAAGGAGAACAGCCTTTTCTCTGTTACTCGTGTTTGCTACAGGAGGATCTCTGACTGACGTTGTTTATAGTTTTTCTGCTCTGGTCACGTGACTCTGTGGCACTACAGCATAGAAAGCTCCTGGATGCTAGAGAGTTAGCTAGTTTTAGACGTTTGGAGGTTTTACTAAATCAAATGGTCCGTTCTTGTTGTGTGGTCGGTTGTACGGCCCGCCAGGGACAGAGTAAGTTTTTGTTCTAAGTCTTTTGGAAAAGAACAGTGAAAAACGGCCGCGGTAAAGTGGTCCGCACATTAAAAAAGGGTTGATCTTTTACCATGTGACCTACGGTAAACGTAGATAGGGAAGCCGGGGACATGAGGGGATTATAATCCATAAACAAATGTAAGTTTTGAAACTACTTTGACTGCGCACTTGCTCAGTGTGATGATGAATTTAACACATTGTATTTTGGTTGCTCCTTTACCACGTCTACTGTAAGTAACAGCAAAAAGGAGCAACCCGCTTTTAATGTGCGGACCACTTTACCACAACGCCAAAAAGCCGGGCCACTTTACCGCTGTGAAAAACGCAAGAAATGGTTTTTCACCACGGACCCTTGTTGAGTGAAGGGTCCCGGGTTTTCTATGAAGTAAAAATAAATGTCTCAGAGTCCCAGTTCCAGCAGATCGGTGCCAAGACAGAGGTGAGTCTGACCAATGTCTGTGGTCCTCCAGGTCTGTGGTCCTCCAGGTCTGTGGTCCTCCAGGTCTGTGGTCCTCCAGGTCTGTGGTCCTCCAGGTCTGTGGTCCTCCAGGTCTGTGGTCCTCCAGGTCTGTGGTCCTCCAGGTCTGTGGTCCTCCAGGTCTGTGGTCCTCCAGGACTGTGGTCCTCCAGGTCTCATCTGGGCTTTGGACTGGTTCAGTTCAGTCTCATATACTTATGTTTAGCTTGTCTTTATATCTCCTCTGGTCTTCTTCTGTTAAAGTGTTTGTATAAAGTGCTATTCGCTGAGTTTTTAAAAAGTACTCGTCGTATCCATGCTTCAGTTTGAGCCGCTCTGTCTCTTTGCCACAGAGAGGTGTAAACAAACATCCTGCTGTAGCCAGAGCTGTGGCCTCGACCAAAGTACATCTGTAACGAGTTAGAGCCATGTTAGAACCACCTGGGACTCTGAGGAGCACAGGGACTGGGACTCTGAGGAGCACAGGGACTGGGACTCTGAGGAGCACAGGGACTGGGACTCTGAGGAGCACAGGGACTGGGACTCCGAGGAGCACAGGGACTGGGACTCTGAGGAGCACAAGGACTGGGACTCTGAGGAGCACAGGGACTGGGACTCTGAGGAGCACAGGGACTGGGACTCCGAGGAGCACAGGGACTGGGACTCTGAGGAGCACAAGGACTGGGACTCTGAGGAGCACAGGGACTGGGACTCTGAGGAGCACAGGGACTGGGACTCTGAGGAGCACAGGGACTGGGACTCTGAGGAGCACAGGGACTGGGACTCTGAGGAGCACAGGGACTGGGACTCTGAGGAGCACAGGGACTGGGACTCTGAGGAGCACAAGGACTGGGACTCTGAGGAGCACAGGGACTGGGACTCTGAGGATCACAGGGACTGGGACTCTGAGGAGCACAGGGACTGGGACTCTGAGGAGCACAGGGACGGGGACTCTGAGGAGCACAGGGACTGGGACTCTGAGGAGCACAGGGACTGGGACTCTGAGGAGCACAGGGACTGGGACTCTGAGGAGCACAGGGACTGGGACTCTGAGGAGCACAAGGACTGGGACTCTGAGGAGCACAGGGACTGGGACTCTGAGGAGCACAGGGACGGGGACTCTGAGGAGCACAAGGACTGGGACTCTGAGGAGCACAGGGACTGGGACTCTGAGGAGCACAGGGACTGGGACTCTGAGGAGCACAGGGACTGGGACTCTGAGGAGCACAAGGACTGGGACTCTGAGGAGCACAGGACTGGGACTCTGAGGAGCACAGGGACTGGGACTCTGAGGAGCACAGGGACGGGGACTCTGAGGAGCACAGGGACTGGGACTCTGAGGAGCACAGGGACTGGGACTCTGAGGAGCACAGGGACGGGGACTCTGAGGAGCACAGGGACTGGGACTGAGAGTTTAATTAAATCATTTTATTATTTTCTTTAGTCCTTTAGATTTCTCGTCGTGGAAACCCCAGCGTTAAACCTGTAAGACATTTGTGAGATTCTGTGCTGGACACGAGGGTCGTGTTTGAAGCTCTCCAACGCTGTTTTCATCACAGCTTGTTTTTATATTATTTGTAAATTCATCCTTAGATGAAAAGAAATAGTTTTTTTTTTAGAATCAAACAAAGCAGCTGCAGGAATCAAAAGTTTTAGTAATCAGTGTTAAAACTGCTTCAGCAACAACGTGGTTTTGAGAATATTTATTTTGCCAGATTCCTAAAGACAATTTCTGCAGTTCACATTTCAATTCAAACCTGTGCAAACCAGCAGCAGCAGTAGCAGCAGCAGCAGCAGCAGCAGCAGCAGCAGCAGCAGCAGTAACAGCAGCAGCAGCAGCAGTAACAGCAGCAGTAACAGCAGCAGCAGCAGCAGTAACAGCAGCAGCAGCAGCAGCAGCAGCAGCAGTAACAGCAGCAGCAGCAGTAGCAGCAGCAGCAGCAGCAGCAGCAGCAGCAGCAGCAGCAGCAGCAGCAGTAACAGCAGCAGCAGCAGCAGCAGCAGCAGCAGCAGCAGCAGTAACAGCAGCAGCAGCAGCAGCAGCAGCAGCAGCAGCAGCAGCAGTAACAGCAGCAGCAGCAGCAGCAGCAGCAGCAGCAGCAGCAGTAACAGCAGCAGCAGCAGCAGCAGTAGCAGCAGCAGCAGCAGCCGCAGCAGTAACAGCAGCAGCAGTAACAGCAGCAGCAGCAGTAACAGCAGCAGCAGCAGCAGCAGTAGCAGCAGCAGCAGCAGCCGCAGCAGTAACAGCAGCAGCAGCAGCAGCAGTAGCAGCAGCAGCAGCAGCCGCAGCAGTAACAGCAGCAGCAGTAGCAGCAGCAGCAGCAGCAGCAGCAGCAGCAGTAGTAACAGCAACAGCAGTAACAGCAGCAGCAGCAGCAGCAGCAGTAACAGCAGCAGCAGTAACAGCAGCAGCAGCAGCAGCAGCAGCAGCAGCAGTAACAGCAGCAGCAGTAACAGCAGCAGCAGTAACAGCAGCAGCAGCAGCAGCAGCAGCAGCAGCAGCAGCAGCAGCAGCAGCAGCAGCAGCAGCAGCAGCAGCAGCAGCAGCAGCACATCTGAAACCTTGCAGCCTGCTCCACGTCAGAGCCTCAAAAATGTGCTTTAATGGATCCAGATTTTCTCGACCTTTTCAAGTTTAAATCCGTTCATCACATATTTGTCTGAAGCCACAGACTCTTCTAAAAGCCAAAGACAAACCCAAGGTCCGCCGCATTATCAGCACTTTGAAAACTCCACAAAGACACACATCACCTGCAGGTTTATCATGGTCCCAGAGGATTTACATCA